GCTGGTTGCTACGGGATGTCGTGGATCTGGGATGGACTGTGGGCCTTCAGGGAGCTGGGAGGCGATGGGGAGGGGTGGCGGTGCTGTGGGCCTGAATGGTCTTGGAAGCAGTGGGGGGATGCTGTGGGCCTGGGGGTGCTACAGAGTAGGAAGGCGGGGAGATACTGCGGGCCTGGAGAGGCTGGGGGTGCTGTGGGCCTGGGGATGTTATGGGGTTGGGAGGCAATGGAGAGGGATGCTCTGGGCCTGGAGGGGCTGGGAGTGCTGTGACGCTGGGGATACCGGGTGTTATGGGGTGGGATGCAGCGGGGCTGAGGGCTTTTTACTGTTGGTATGGGCAGCCTTTGCATGATGGGGCTGGGTGTCGCAGAGTATCTTGGTGCTGTGGGGCTAGGTGCTACTGAACTGAGGGAGCTAGGCTTTGGGTGCCACTGGAGGGTGCCATAGGGCAGGGTCTGCGTGGCTGGACCTGGCAGGAGCAGGGCCCTGGCTGTGCCTGGGGCAGGGCCAAATCTAAGGTTCCCCACTCCCGGGCTGTGATGCTGCCTGTGGTTTTGGCTGTGCTGGTGGTTGCTGTCCTATCCCTGTGGGCTCAGTGCCCCCTCTGGGATGTGGGGAGGGTCGTTGGCAGTGTGAGGGCTGGAGTCCCAGTGCCTGACTGGGCCAAGGAGGGTGCACGGCTCTGCTAGAGCCTCATCCCTTTGGCTGTGCTGCTGTCTGCAGGCAGGTGCCTGGGGACAGAGCTGGGTCCTGCCCTGGGGCAGGCTGGCTGCTTCCCATCTGGGCTCCCTGCTGAGCAGCTGCTGCCTGTTGTAGGCAAGGAAACCTCTCTGAGGGGCAGGGAGGTGCTGTGTGTTTGGAGGGGACAGCTGACCCCATGACCTGGATGCAGCATTTTGTCTTTAACCACGCTGACAGCAGGGAGATGTGTGCCACCCAAAGGCTGCACAACAGAAAATTGTTGCTCCACCTCGCACCTGATGTGTTTCAGAGGAAAATTCTTGGCAGAGTCAAGGGGAAACCAGGGTTTGCATATCCCACCTCTCTCTTTGCAGGGTACAGAAAACCTGGGCAGGAACCATGCCTGTGGCGGTGGGCTGGTGGGGCTGGTATCCTCATATCCAGCTGCTTCTAGCCTTGAGGTCAGCCCCACGCTTATCTGGCAGGGCAGAGGGGAGCCACTGGCTCCTTTGGACAGCCCATCTGGATGCTGCAGCTCCTGCTCTTACCCTCCCCGCTGCTGCCTGGGGGCTACACTGTGGGTACGGCAGTACAGGGAGCTGGTCCCCGCTGAAGGGATTCTGTGGTGGGGCATCACTGCCTGGCACCGCACCAAGGTGAGCACTCGGCCCAGGCTCAGAAGGTGCCATGGCAGAACCCCGGGGCAGCCTCGCTCCTTAATATTGATGGGCGCTGCCTGCATGGAGGCCTTTGGGTCCCAGCCCTGCAGATCGTTTTCCTGGCTGTTGGGCCGGCTCGGGTTCCTCCTTGCTCCCAGCACAGCTCTCGGTGGGATGAGGGGCTCGGCAGACAGGGGAGTGGTGCACAGCATCGCCTCGGCCTGGGGCTGCCCCTGGGCTGCTCCTTCACGTTGTCCAAGGTGGATGCAGGTGAGGGGAAGGAAGAAGTGTTGGGACTCTCAGAGTGGGGCTGTGATATTGGGAAGGGTGCAAGGTGGCCTCTGCAGCTTGGTCCACAGGTTGAGGTGAAGGGAAGCAGCATCCAAGGCCCTGCTTTTTTGGGGGTGAGGAGAGGGACTAGGGGAGGAAGGATAATCCTGGCCCAGCTCCTCATAAAAGCATAGGTCTTGTGTGGGTTCCTCCATTCCCGAGCTTGTTGGGATGGGCTGGGTCTGGGATCATCCCTGGAACTGGCCCAGCGTCCTGGATGTTCATGCCTTCTCTGGTTTCCTCTGAGTCAGACTCTCCATGTCGCTCCCCCGGCCCCCTCCCCGCTGGGAAAGACGAGAAGGGGCCAGAGAACATCTGAGCCCAGATGCCGAGGGGCCTGTGCCCCCTGCTCCATGCAGAGAGCTCTCCCAGTGCCAGTAGCCCTGGAGCCTCCAGGAGTCTGGGCTCAGCTCCCCCTGCTCTGCATCACTGCATCATTGTGCAGGGCAAAAGAGAGGCCCCTGCCCTGCTGTGAAGGCAGGTGTCTGGCAGAGTTATCACAGGGAGCTGGGTGACCGGCGTCAGCACGTTCGGGAGGGAAGAGCCTTCCTGAGGACAACCAGGCAGTGGGGTGGCCTGCCCACACTGAGCTCCTCTCCCCCAGGCACAGCGTGGCAGGGATGAGGAGCCGGCAGCGGATGTTTGCGGCGGTGATGCGCCTGCTCCTCAAGTGTCTGCGGCTGGGCCGGCGGCGGCGGTTTAAGCTGGTGCGGCAGGTGGAGCAGCTGTGGCACTACAGTCACCTCTGCCTCCGCTCCCTGCTCTACAACTCCTTCACAAACGGCGACGTGGTGCTCGACTCCCTCTTTGAGCCTGTCTACTGGCTGGTGGACCACGTCACCCGGTGGTTTGGTGTGGTGAGTACCCTCACTGGGCAGGGGCACCCAGCTCTGGGGCAAGCGGGCTGCTGGCTCAACTGAGTCTTAGGGCTGCCTGTGCTCTAGGCAGAAAGGGAGTGGGGACCTCAGTGTGTGGTTCAGGTTGGTTTCCTGGGGCTGGATCTTCCCTGTGCCTCTCTCCAGGCAGCAAGGAGCAGGCCCTGTCCACTGGTGACACAGGTCCCTTTCCCATAGGTGTTTGTGGCCCTGGTGATCGGGCTGACTAGCTCCATCGTGGCCATTGTGTACATCTGCCTGCTGCCCCTCATCCTGCAGACCTACACACCGGCCTGGATCTGCTGGCACCTTGCCTACGGACACTGGAACCTCATCATGATTGTCTTCCACTACTACATGGCCATCACCACCTCGCCCGGGCACCCACCACAGGTGAGGCACTGACCAACAGCACAGCCTCTCCAGGCTGGTCACTGGGAACCAGCTTCGGCTGATCACTGGGAGGAGCTAAACCAACCTGGTGGCTTTGTTGCAGGAGGCTTCCTCCAGATCGAGGCAGCTAGACTCAGCAGTGTGGGGTGGGGAGGTATGGGGGTTTACAGGGGAGGTGAGGAGTGTGGGGAGCAGAGGATGGATGCAGGGCTTGGGTGCACAAATCTCTTCTGACCTGCACGCAGACCAAGGACGATCTCACCGGCGTCTCCGTCTGCAGGAAATGCATTGCCCCCAAGCCGGCTCGCACCCACCACTGCAGCATCTGCAACAGGTAGGGCTCCCTCCCTCTACCCACCACAGTGCTCAGGGCAGCCTCCGGGACCCCTCCCCTTTGCCCCCAGCCCCTCTGCTCTGCCGGCTTCTTGCTTTATCTCTTGCCCAGCCCACAGGGCTGGGGGGGCTGCCTGCCTCCTCCCATACAGGGTGCTTGTGCTGACACTGACTCTGCTCTCCTCCCTCCCAGGTGCGTGCTGAAGATGGATCACCACTGCCGTATCCTTCTGCAGTACTAACCCGCCGCACTCTCCAGGGGGCAGCCGGCCCTGCTTCCCCCTTCTCTTCCTGCCCCACTCCTCTCCCTAGTGAGCCAGCACAGGGAAGTGTGCTGGGGGCTGGGCCCTGAAGGACCGCCCTGGTCCCTGGGGTGGGTTTGGATCTGTGGTCTGTCACAGTTACATAACTTTAACTCCAGAGGCAGCCTGGTTAAACAACTGTGTGGGGCACTACAACCACCGCTACTTCTTCTCCTTCTGCCTGTTCATGACCATGGGCTGCATCTACTGCAGCATCAGTGGCTGGGAGATGTTCCGGGATGCCTATGCAGCCATTGAGGTGAGTGGGCAGGCCCTGGCCCACACCCTGCTGTGCACCGAGGCTGCCTGGGCTCCCCAGGCTGAGCTTGCAGAACAAGGCTGGGCCAGGCCTGGCCTGGCCTTGTAGAGACTTTGCTTCCCCTTTCCCTTCTCCTGCGAGGCCCCAGCTGCACTGGTCCCATGGAGGGGAGGGTGAGAGGGAAGGGCCCACTCCTCCACGTAACTGGTGCCCTGTTTTCCATCCCCCTAGAGAATGAAACTGCTTGAGAAGGAGAGACTGCAGGTGGCTGTCAACCAGGTGGGACATCCTTGTCCCCCAGCTGCTCTGGGCAGTGTGGAGCAAAGCTGCCCTGCAGGCTGGGTCCTGCTTGGGGCCCTGCTCTCAAGGTGCACCCCACAGCCAAAACCAGCCCCCCCTGCTCGTCTTGTGTGTCAGAGCTGGGGCTGGCCGGGCAGCTCTGCTTACGGGCACTGCCTCCAGCAGCTTGGGGTCTGCTTCCCTGTGCACCCCGCTGCCAGGGGTTTCGGCTGGTGGCAGCAGCTTGGCATGTGCTGCTCAGGCCCTGCTCTCCTGGGGAAGCTGCAGCAGTGTGCACACATCCTGCCCTGAGTGTCAGCTGCGGTGTGGTGCAGCGTCCTGAGTGGTCCCGTGGCTGCTCCCTGCCCCCTGACCTCCAGCCCACTGCTTCTCACCCATCTGCCAGCTCTCAGGTGTCTGTCTGTCTCGTGGCTGTCTCAGGCTGCCTCTCCATCACTCTGGCTGTTGTGTTGGCTCCAGCCGCAGTCCCTTCCAGCTGTCCAAGCCCTGCATCTCTGAGGGGTGCAGCACTCCGTCTGGCTTCAAGCTGTAAAGCAGTTGGGGTAATCCCTGCCTCTCTATGGTCCTTTTCCAGACGTACTACCAGACCCCACCACCCACCTTCTCCTTCCGCCAGCGAGCTTTCCACAAGAGCGTTGTCTACCTCTGGGTCCTGTGCAGGTGAGGGGAGCTGGGGGCAAGGGTGCTGGGGGAAGCAGCGTGCAGCCCCCTGCTCTGTGGCATTGCTCACCCTCTGGCTGGGCTGGCTTGCTCTAGCACAGATGTCCCTGCCCTGCCAGCTCTTGGTCCCCAGAGGAGGAGAGATTCTGGCTCTCTGTCATGGCAGACCCACCTATGCAGCTGTGGGTCAGCCCCCTGCATCTGCAGCACCAGGGAAGAACAGCCAGTGTGCAACCTGCTGTCCCTTGCCATCCCCAGCTCGGTGGCTCTGGCTTTGGGTGCCCTCACGCTGTGGCATGCTGCCCTCATCACTCGTGGGGAAACCAGCATCGAGCGGCACATCAACAAGAAGGAGAAGCAGAGGCTGCGGAAGAAAGGCAAGGTGAGCACCGCCTGCAGAGCCAGGGGGCTGGCAGGGCAGAACCAGATGTGACCTGTGCTTCCCTGGCCCACAGGTCTTCAGGAACCCCTACAGTTATGGCAGCTGGGATAACTGGAAGGTGTTTCTGGGCGTGGATACGCCAAGGTAAAGTCCCAGGGAAGCCCCTGCCTGGGAAGGTGATGGCTCAGCAGTATGTGGGGGTGCTGGACCCTGGGGCTGTCGTTGGGCAGCTGGGGCAGAGCAGGACAGCCAGCAGCCCCTGCTCTGTGCCACTCTGGGCTTTGCAAGGCACAGAGGACCCAGGCATCAGCTGTCTTGTGGCTCCTGAGCCCTGCCCTGGGGTGAGCCCTTTGCCGAGAGTCTTGGCTGAGGAGTGCAGCTGTCAGCAGCTCGGGGACACGTGCTCACAGCCCTGGCGGTTCTGCAGAGCCGAGAACCGCCAGCACTTCAGCTTTATGCTGTGGCCTCACTCCTCTCCCCACAGGCACTGGCTCACCCGTGTCCTGCTGCCCTCTCCTCACCTGCCCCACGGGACAGGCCTGAGCTGGGACCTGCCTCCCTGCGTGACCGAGCAGCGCTCGCCGCTCCTGGCCCTCTGAGGCCCTCCCGGGTGTTGCAGAGATGTCCCTCCCTGCAGGCAGGGGAGCGCACAGGGGACCCACTCCCCCACCACGGCTCCCTTTGGCCCAGGCATCTGGCAGAAGGTGGGTGCTGGCACGCATCGGCGACCGCAGCCACAGCCACGGGAATCTCTTTGGAGGGTGTTGGTGCCTGGATGCCTGCTCTCTTCGTTCCTTGGTGCTGCAGGCAGCCCTGGGGAAAGGCAGCCAAGCCGCTGCTCTCTGCTCTAGCTGAAGCTGCTGCCCCGGCTAGCACAGGTACGGGCCAGGACATGGCCCAGCTCGGCTCTCTGGCAGGGCTGGGCGCAGAGGATGGCACCCCTGGCCTCCAAGCACTCCCCAGGGAGACTTTTTAAGACCATCCAATAAATAATTATTTTTTTTTTAAAGGCAGCCTGGCTCTTTTCCCTGCTGGGGACACAGACTCCTGGGGGCAGGGGTGGAGTGGGATCCCCCCAATTCCCCATAAGGGCCTGTAACCAGCAGCACCTTGAGCTGCTCGACCTCTGGAAGGGCACTGGGATCCCAGCCTGAGCTGCACGGAGACCCTCCACAGCACTACCAAAACAGATCTATTTATTCCTCTGGTGCATGGGTTGCCACACACCGTAGGCACGTGCGCAGGCCCGTCCTCTCCACTCCTGGGATGAGTCTGTCCGCCACTGTCCCTGCATGCAGCAGAGGCTGGGAAAGCCACGAGCGGCACAGTTCCTTCCCCCCCATGGGTGCTGGGAAAGAGGGAGGGCGGTGCAGGGAAGGTGCTGCAGCGAGGGTTGCTGTCTGCCGGCCCCCACACTCCAGCCTTGGCACTCAGGGTAGTCCAGGGCTCAGGGTCTGTGGCAGCAGGTGGATGGCTCGGCGGGTTAGCAGGGGCCCGGTCAGATTGTCGGTCAGCACAGGAGGGGACACGGGGCGCTCACCTGCCTGGGCTCCCTAGCAAGAACCTGTGAGGACAGAAGTGGTGCCATCAGCCACATCCCCAACGCACCAGTACCCTGGCAGCTGCAGCCCCACACACTCACCATTCCCCCCGTGCTGCCACTGCCTCCTTCCGCACCAGCCTCTTCTTGTCATCCAAAGGCTTGGCCAGTGCCCGGATAACTCGGGCCTTGTACGGGAGCAGCTGTAGGACAGGACAGGCTCTTAGTGAGAGAGCTGGGTGCTGGCTGCCCCCCAGGAGGAGGTTTAGGATGCCCCTGCCCCTCTACACGCAGGAGCAGGCTGCTGCAGGAGCGCTTACCACTGTTGTGGGCAGGCTGGTAAGCGCGTGGGCACAGCGCAGGGCGGCGATGCGGACAGCCTGGAAGAGAAATGGGTGAGGGCAGCTGCAGGGGTGGAGGAGAGGGGTGTGGGGAGGAGGCAGGAGGGGGCACACGCACCATGGCAGGGCTGGAGGTGAGGCTGAGGAATTTGGTGACCAGTGTGTCGACGTGTAGGCTCATGATCTGGGGAGCTTCCAGCAGCAGCGGCTGGAGGCAGCTCAGGGTGGAGAGCTGCACCACGCGGTCCGAGCAGGACAAGGCCTCAAGCAGGAGGGAAAGCAGCTGCAGGTGGGGAGGACACAGATGTGAGTAGTGTGTAACTTGCAGCCACACACTGCACTACCCCAGTCCCTGCCATCACCAAGGCTGGCTCACCGTGGGCAGCTCTGTCACCAGCACGGGCTTGGGGAGGTGGTTGAGCACATGGGACAGGCCCTTCAGGTAATTGGCCTTCACATCTGCAGAGCGGAGAAGATTACAGGCAGCCCAGGGAAGGGAGCGGGGATGCGGGTGCAGGTCCCCAGGGTAAGGGGTCACAGGGCAGCAAGGCTGGGCTGGGGGTGGCCACTCACCAGGGCCAGCCCTGTGGAAGCCCTGCACCAGCTTGGGGACGTTGTCGGTGAAAAAGCGCTGGCGGAACATGATGCGCACGTCGGCGTGGCAGCCCTTGTGCAGCACGTCTGGCGACTCAGCCATGAGCAGGGAGAAGCCGTCGGCCGCGGTGGGACCCAGCTCCACGTCGCCCAGCAGGCCCAGCAGCTGCAGGGGACAGAGCCCTAAGACGGGGTGCCCTGCCGCTGGGGGCTCCCAGCTGGCTGCAGGGCGAGGAGGCAGGCCCCTCCAACACCACCCACCCCACCACTGCCTACCTTGTCTGTCAGGCGGGAGCTCAGGGGGTGGTAGCGCAGCACCAGGGCTTTGGTCACCTGTGCAGGCAGATCAGAGTCAGCGCCAGGCTGGCCCCCCTGCCCCGGCTCTCCCTACCTGTCCTGCATCCAAGGCCAGGCCTTACCCAGAGCAGCAGGGTGAGCGCCTGCATTCGGCGGGGCCCCTCTGCCAGGCCAGGCTCCATCCTGTTCACTGCAAGCTGCAGGATCTCATCCAGCTGCTGCCCTGGGGACACAGTAGGGACAGGCTGAGACCCTCCCCTGCCAGCAGTGGGCAGGGACCCGCGGTGTCCTGCACAGCTCGCTTACCCGCCGGGTGCTTGTTCACCAGACCCGCAAAGCACTTGGCAGCTGTGGTGGCTGTAAAGGGGCAGTTGCAGGAGCAGCTCAGCGCCAGCAGCTCCTGGAGCAGCCGTTCCTGCTGAGGAATTGCCACCTGGAAGAGACAGGGAGCATGTTACAGCCCGGGGCTGCAGCTGCTCCCTTCCTCCACCCATGATGCTTGCTGTGGATATATGCAGGAGGGTGCTCAGTCAGGGCACCCCTTCACCCTGCCGCCCACCAACTTACATCGCGGGGCAAGGAGCAGACAAAGGCCATCAGGAGGGCAACGAGACGTCTCTGTGCCTCCAAGCATTCCCCATCCTGCAGGGGAAGAACAGTACCCATGTCATCCTGGTCCTTGCTGCCAGCCTGTGCCAGCATCCTCATTCTTGGCCCCCAAGCACCCAACACACCTCGAAGGGCTTGAAGGAGCAGGGAAAACTGTTCTGGGGTAGGAAGGAGACCTCTCCATCCAGGAAGAGGGGCACCACGTGAGACACGCTCTGGGCAGCCAGCCTAGGAGAAAGGAGATGTCGCAATGTGCTGCTCTGGGAGGGTCACCAGAGAGCTCCTGGGTACCCCCCAGGAGGCGCAGGGTCCCCCTGAACAGACAGCAGTGGGGGGACGCAGCCTTCCCCCTCCCCACAACAGAGTGTCCAGCGTCCTACCCCAGCATCACTCACTCAGGGCTCAGGTGAGTAGTGGCAGCGCTGATGATGGGGACCATGGCAGCCAGCACCTCCTCCTCCAGCAGTGCCTTGCCCAGCAGCGGATGGGCACTCTCTGCAGGCAGCGGAGGGGGTTGGAAAGGGACGTGCTGGAGCCCCCTGACCCAAATTAGCCCTGGGGCAGGGCTGCTCTGCCTCTGGCCGGGTGCAGGCAGCGTGACCCGCAGTGCCCGCGGTTGCCAGAGGGCGGCAGCAGCAGCGCTGGCTGCAGGGTCAGAGCCCCCAGAGAATTCGGGGAGCTGCCCCGCTCTCCCCTCTCCCGCTCCAGCCCCGCACCTACCTTGCATGGCAGCCTGCACGGCCAAGGCCAGCAGGCAGGGCACCACTGTCTGGTGGTAGTACCAGCAGCCCTCCGCGTCCTGCTGGCACTGCAGGGCCACGCGGTGCAGGCTCTGGCACACAGAGACCATGTCTTGGGTGTTCCCGGCCTCGCTCCCTGTAGGGCACAGTCACCATCACAACAAACAGCCGCAGCACCCACCCCCCTGATCTGCACCGGCATCCCGGGGCAATGCAGCCCTCGCTACTCCCCCTCCACCGGCAGGATTCACAGCACAGCCCTGGGCTCCTCACAACACTGCCACCCTCCCTCTCTTCCAGACACCACGGGTAATGGTAATGAAGGCAGCTCCTGCACAGACGCTGCCTGCTGCAGGCTGTGTTACCTTTCTGCACCTTCCGAAGATGCTGCAGCAGGACAGGGACAGTCTCCCTCACGATGCTGGTGTGAATGGACACGGCTGCCAGGGCCTGCAGGCACCGCTGCCGCAGGGAGCAGTGGTCACGGGAGCTCTCCTCTTCCGGCTCTGAAGAGGAAACACACCTCAGAGGGGTGCTGGGGTGACCCCAGGCTCCCTCACCCAAGGGCATTCGGAGCCCAGACCCTGCCAGAGTGGATAGGGCAAAGTGGCATGGCAGAACTAGGCCGTGCCAGGCCCAAGGCACTCTGCCTGCTCTGTGGCTGGGCAGCTCCTCCCCACGAGGGCATGGCCTTCCCTGTGCCAGCACCACATTGCCTGCGCTGGGAATCCCCAAAGAAAAACCACCAACCTACACCATCTAGCACAGCCCCACTGCCTGGCAGGAGCTGAACAGGGATGGGACAGGCTTCACCACAAAACCAGACATCCCTCCCTTCTCAGTGCCGCCAGTCCTACCCGATTGCAGCTCCTCTTCAAGCCTGGGTACCATGCATCCAGAGAAAACCTTTGGGTAGATGGGGGCCAGAGATCCGGCTGCCTCCATCGCTGCTTCACTGCCAGGGGGAGAGTGGGAAGTGTGATGTGAGCACTGCAAATCTGGGGCTGCTTGTACACCAGCTGCACAGATCTGGGCCAAAAGGTGCCTCCAGAAACCAATTCCTCAGTAATCTGCCTTTTTCACTCTACTGGGAGGCAGAGCAGAGCCCCCCCAACTTTTGACGGTCCGACTTTCTGATTTCCAGCCTGTGAATGCTTGGTTTATCCCTTTGCTCTTACAACCACATGGTCTTTTAGTTCAGACAGTTCCTGTGCCTTCCCCCAGACTCATTGCTCTCAGCAGCAAAGCCAGGCTTTGTTCCTCTCCCCAGAGTGTAGGTGATTGCAGTGGCACCAGCCCGCCCCTCACCTGCTCTGGGAATCCTCCTCGTGCAGAGCGAGACGAATGAGGTGATCCACAACCAGCTCCAGGTCAGAGGGAGACAGGAAGCCTGGAACAAGAACCAAAGAGAAATTCTGCCCTCAGCCAAAGATGCCGGTGCTCTGGCCAGCATCCTTTGCCCTCATCCAGGCTAGCAGCAACACAGCAGCATGCCAAACGACAGAGACACAAAGTACCCAGCACAAACAGGCAAGAGAGAGACCAAGTGCCCCTGGAGCTCATGGCCTGAGTAGAAAATGCTGCCGCTGCTCCTGTGCACCTACAGGCAGCAGGCAAGGATGTCCCAGCAGCCACAGTGCACCATGTCTCCCAGAATACGGTGACACCCCTCCCATCCGCCTCCCCAAGGGAAACAAGTCACCAACCTTGCAGGGAGCCCAGGACAGTCAACGCCCTGATCCCAACCAGCTGCAGCTGCACACTGGGATCCGTCAGCGCCGAGAACACCACAGAGCAAACCTGGGCTTGCAGCGACAGCAGACTGCTCTCATCTGGGGAGACAGGCATGGAGTCACTGCCTGCGCCCGGCTGTCACCACACAAGCCACCACTGCGGCACCTGAC